AAGGAAAGAAAAGAGGTTTAATTGGCTCATAGTTCTGTGGGCCGTACAGGAAGCATAATGCTGGCATCTGCTAGGCTTCTGGGGAGGCTGCAGGAAACTTACAATTAAGACAGAATATGAAAGGGAAGCAGACCTGTCTTATTTGACAAAAGCAGGAGCTACACACCTTTCAACAACCAGATCTCATAATAACTCACTCACCTACTATCATGAGAACAGCAAAGAGGGGACAGTGCTAAACTATTCATAAGAACTCCACCCCCATGATCTAATCACCTCCCACCAGGCTCCACCTCCAATATTGAGGATTACAATTCAACATATGATTTGGGTGGGGACACAGATCCTAATCATATCAGGTGCCTTGCCTCAACTGTACCTGGTATTCTTCAGCCCGAAGAAATTCTGTTGCTCACTGAAATGATTTGGCTGTGTCCCCACCCAAATCTGACCTTGAACTATAGTAATCCCCATGTGTTAAGGGTGGGTCCAGGTGGAGATAACCAAATCATGGGGGTGGTTTCCTCCATATTGTTCTCATGTTAGTGATTAAGTTTCACGAGACCTGATTGTAAGGGTTATCGTGTTGTGAGGTTTATTGCCGAGTTTAAAATGATGAAACTGAGGCCTGCATGAGAACAATTAGACACCAATTTATTCGGCTCCCAGGCGAGGTTCTGTGGTCCCAGGGAAAGAAGCCAGAGAAGTCACACCCGACTTCTCTCAGGCTTGGGGTTTTATAGGGAGTGAAGGCATTTGATTGGCTGTGGAGAAACAGGACATGGATGGGGCAAGCTGCTATTGGTAGGTAGGCAGGATTTCCAGTGAGTGGGCTAGGTGCCGAGTGCAGAGTTTAGTGTTGAGTGCAGAGGGGATTTCCAAGGCGGAGCTAGATGATGGGTGTATTCTGGTGGCGTAATTTTCAGGCAGGGAGAGGGATGGGCGTGTCCAAGCTTCTGGCGAGGCAACTGGCCTTACACTGATAGTTTTATAAATAGGAGTCTCTCTGCACAAGCTCTTTTTGCATGCTGCCATGTAAGATGTGACTTTCCTCCTCCTTTGCTTTCTGCTGTGATTGTGAGGTCTCCCCAGCCATTCTGAAATGTGAGTAAATTAAACATCTTTCCTTTTGAATTACCCAGTCTCGGGTATGCCATTAGCAGTGTGAGAACAGATAAATATACTCACCCTTTCCAGAAAATAAATCTCCAGCTTCCCCCAAGTAGGGGGAAGACGAATATCCCAGAAATGTGAAACAAGGGAGAGTTCTAGAGATCTAACCACTCTCCTCTCCTCAGTTCCAGATACGCCTTAAGCTGCCAATTCCTGAGCCATTTGCAGGCTTGGCAGTAGAAATCAGGATGACTCCCAGCTTTCCCCACTACTGACTCAGGATTGGGCTTTCTACAGACTATTGTCACCTTCTCAAATCCTGCTGTTATCTTCTCTCCCATTCTCCCTGTCTTCAACAGATTGTGTCTTAGAAGTCTTCATACATCCTTCACACTTGATTCTGGGCCACGGGGGATCTTCTGGGGGATGAGGGTTAGGACACAGATCCTAATCATATCAGGTGCTCACACCCACCCACCCCCACCTGTCTCTATAGAAATGCCACATTGCCCCTCCACTTACTTGGGAATGTCTCTTCTGAAGAGGGTCACCCCACCTACAGCCCTTCCCCCTTATTTAGGCCACACTTGCTCAGAGCCAGCACAGCAGTGTGTCCCAACATGGTTGTAGTAGCTGTTAAAATACTTCAGTGCCTCCCTGTTGAGTGTGAATAGCCACTGTTTCTAATCCCCCAAGTTCCTCTGGCCACCACATATGCTCCCTGGCTGGATTAGATTGCTAGGCTGTGACAACAAAATACCACAGACTGGGTGGCTTAAACAACAGAAATGTATTTTCTCACTTCTGGAGGCCAGAAATCCAAGATCAAGGTGCCAGCTGAGTTGGTTTTGGCTGAGGCTTCTCTCCTTGGCTAGGTAAATGCCCCCTTGCTGCCTCTTTGCATGATCCTGCCTCTGTGCATGCCTGCCCCTGGTGTCCCGCTGTGTGTCCTAATCTCCTCCTATAAGGCCACCAGTCAGATTGGATTAGAATCCATTCCCAGGGCCTCACTTTACCTTAATTGCCCCTTTCAAGGCTCTATCTCCAAGTACAGTCACATTCTGATATACCAGAGGTTAGTGCTTCAACACATGAATTTGAAGGGGGTCACAGACCAGCCCGTAACACTGGCCTTCTCTAATTCTAGCCTAGGACTCTCATTGCCTCTTATCCCCACCATACTTGTACTTACATATGTGGAATAGCAGCTCTGAAGCTGTCGCATTCTTGATTTCTCACTGCAAGCCTGGGCTATGAAACCAGTCCTGTGAAGACAGCCACAGCCCCAGGCCCCCTGCCTTGAAGCATAATGGGAAACCATGAAGCTGTTTGTGTTTAGTATCATATTTTTATGTCCCAACTGCTAAAAATATTTTTAAATAAAAATAAAATCAATATATACTGTACACATTTATTGTATATGACTCTAAAATAAAAATTCTCATTTGTTCCCTTGAAGATTTGGCCTACTTCTGCTTACATTTTAGGATTCAGTTAGTAAATACAGTAAAAAAAAAAATCTTTGAACAATGACCATTCATACCCTATTTACATAAGCTTTTAGAAAAGGCTACAGAGGGTGGAAAACCTTCATGAGGAAGCATGTTATCGTGGATCAAAGCAGAGGTTTTGGAATCAGACAGACCTGCATTTAAATTCTGCTTCTGCCTCTTATTAATGATGTGACCTTGAGCAAACTGCTGAACCTTTCAGTTTCCTCATTTGTAATAATACCTGGCTCATGTGGCCACCGCAAGAAACAAGTGGGATAATGTACACCCAACATCCACATGAGGTCTGGACAATAGAGTGTGTTGATTGAGAAACGGAGACTCCCTCCCCTCTCCCCCTGGAACCACAGGCTTCAGAGAAGTGTACACCCCCACCAGTGAGACCCCCTCCTTTCATCCCATCCCCAAGGTGGCACCTGGGCCCTGATATCATTCTGTTCTTTATAAAATCCTTCATCTCCTTTCACCCAGAGAAGAGGGTTTGTGCAAATCCTATGTTAATAGATTCCTTTGACCAATTCACTAGGCAGGTTTTACATTTGAAAGACTGACAGCTTCCCTCAGCCTTTCTCAAGCGGCCCTGGGGAGGGTCTGGAAACCACTCAGAGATTAACTTCTGGCTTCCTCAGCCCCTCCAACTAGCTCCCTGTGAGCTGAGGGAGCTTCACCCCTGGGCTTCACCTCTTCTCCCCTGCCCCACTCCCAGAGTAGATAAAGGCAGACTTGCTGACAAAGTTTAGAAAATAAATGGAGAGAGGTAGGAAGAAAAAAATGAACACTACAGAGCCCCACACGGTTTCGTTAATCTCACATCAGTGACCTCACTTGGTCTTCCCAACCCCTCAGTGCAGTCCACATCACTGGAGGAGACTGAGATTCAGAAAGGTTAATTAACCAGCGCCAAGTGGCAGAGCAAGATTTGAGACCATGTCAGTGAGACTGAAGCCAAGCCCAGTGTTCTTTCCAATGTTCCCAGCTGCAGCCTGGGGCCCTCGGCTCTCCCTACAATCTCCCTCGTCACATTCCTCTGCCTCTCTCTTAGGGCATCCATCACATTCTTGTGTTAGGTTCCTTGAGGATAGGTCTTCTGTGTTTGATTTGTTCAGGACAGGAGGGGTGTCTGATTCTTTATTTTCTTTCCCCCACAATACCAAACGCATTGTAGGCACTTAGGATGTGTGTGGAACATGAACCGATGAAGAGTTAAAGCAATAAGTGCATAACTAAATGAACATGTAAGCTAATAGACAACATATCTGTGAATAAATGAACTTAGAAGTGGTTGCCTGGATGTGGATAAATGGATGGCTGGATGGATGGATGGATGAACAAGCACTTGTAAGAAAAAGTAAATGCGTTTTTTTCACATAGGCAAAAATGAGTGCTTACACATTAATTGACTGCATGAATTGCATGGGTGTAGTAATAGGCAAATGAATGAATATGTCAATGAATAATAATGTAAATGAACATATAAATTAATGAGTCAATAAATACATATACAAATTAGTAATATTAAGTGGTCAAATAAACACATGAGAATGAATGGATAAGTTAATACATAAATGCATTCATGTAAGGAGGAATGAATGAATGCATGAATGAACTGAAAAATGCATACATGCAGCAATTAATGAATAGCTGAGTGAATGAGCCAACAACTGGGTGAATGAATGCTTTCTCCATTTTCCCAGATGACACCACCCCCTGAGCACACCCTGTAATCAGAAAGCACAAAATTCAGAGGGCCCACCGAGACTCCAGGAGACAGCATTCAAGTTGATGATAGTGGTCTGGGGTGGGATTAAAGATTAGGGCCCAACTGTGCATAGATAATGCCTATGTTGGAGTCACCTGTAGGATCTTCTACATCTCCTTAGAACCAGATATGGAGGTGGTTATCAGGAGCCCATTGGCTCCAGCAAGTGAGAATTAGGGGTCATTGCTCCAGGGAGCTTCCAGACAGAGCGAGTCCTACTCTCTACTCCCACCCAGCGCCCCACTCCACACCAAGCCCAGAGCATAAGCAGGCAACCACAGACATAAATTCTTAGCATCTAAGAACAGCCTCCTTTAATGAAGAGGCTGCTGCAATATCTTTGCAACAAGCAGCAACCTACATGTTTGATTACAACAGGTTGAGCCATTCCACACTCCCCAGTGCCAGGGCTCAGGGAAAGTGGGAGGAAAAAAAACAATACCTAAACACTAAGCAAGAACACACACTTTCTGTCACAACCAGCCTGTGATCCTGGCTCTGTCCAGGTTGAAAGAGCTATGGCATTTCTTGCCAAAGAGCTCAGCCTCTTAACTCTTCTGCCTGTCCATTGCTGAACGATGCTTTCCTTTGCTTTTTTTTCCCTTTTTCCGCTTTAGAATCAGCCACGATGGGTTTTGAATGACTGACACCTTCTCCCTTCTCAGCACGGGGAGCCGATTTGGTCAGGATTGTGGCAAACCGGTATTTCAAGTCCCTTGGCAAATCCCAGTGCCCTGTCTCCTGAGGATTGAGCTTCTAAAGAACTGTGAGGAGACAAGACTTCTGGGTGAGAATCAACACGTTCCTCTTTGTTTCTTTGCTGCCACATTCAGCCTAGGTCGCTGTTTCAAAGAGAGGAGAGGTTGGTTGGGAGGAAAGGCTGTCCTGGAAGTTAGGAATGGCACGTAAAAAGAAACCCACTACGCTGTGTTCCTGCTGCGAGGGGGAGAGGGAGCAACATGAAGATTTCTAGGAATTATGACTTGCATTTTCAGTTTTCACTCTTGCCATTGCTTGTCTTATGATGCAACCTTAGAGTAATACCTGCCACTGGAGGTCGGGTGCCTGTTTGGCCTAAGACATTTGTCAGTCATTGAATTAATGATCCCAGCTTCCCACTTGCACCAGAAGGATCTGTTCCTGCTCACAGCTGGGGATGAGCCTGAGGGGAGGGGACCTGCACAGCCTATGTGCTATCTCAGAATCATGGAGACAGTGCAGTGTTGAGTGTAGCATCTTTCGTCTCTGCCTCTGGTTTTCTTTTTCCATCAAGAATGGCTTGAAAATTATGTATTTTTTCCACAACGGGCTTTGAGCACAGCATCAGGAATGTCTACATAGCTATTCGCCCTTATGCCCCAGTTCAACTTTGGGATTTGTTAGGGGAAGCGGGTACAGAGGGATAAAGGCAGCAGGAGAAAGACGTTGGTCTTGGTGACTAACTCCAAACAACAGCTGCTGACAAAGATAGTGATGTGCAGATTACTGATTTTTATTGGACACTTTGGGGAATATAGTTGTTTGTCAGGAAATGAAAGAGAATGTTTGTGCTTATAAAATTATATGGAAAATCAATGTGGTGTTAAGTATATTTTTCAGTTATTTGAGTCAAGGACTGTTCTCCAGCGAATTCTAGCAAGCACTAAGGGAGACAGAGGTTTCCTGAAGCCCAGCCAAGGGGCTGAACAGAAAGGCCAATCTGTGGTTTATTGCTGCTCTCTGTCACTTGGGGAAATGCCTGGGGTGGGTGTGAAGGGACTTCGGGAGCTATGCAAAGTTGCAAACGTGAATGTTCGACCTTTATTATTAACAGCAGTGCTCAGGACAATGCTAGACAGAGCATTCTGTCTATTTCTAGTTTTTCTTCTCTTGTGCTCCAACCCAGGGATTCTGTGTTCTGAGCCCCTGTCAGAGGTGGGGTGATCCCTGGAGGATCTGGGAATTCATAAAAGCATGCTGTAGGGGAGGAGAAATGGGAGAAAATGGAAACTCCGCCTTGGCTCTGTGGTTCAAGAGATGCCTGCCATCAGTACAAGTGGGGTGTTTGGTGCCACTAAATGGACCTGCGGTTCTTGGGACCTTGGACAAGGATATGAAGCCCAGGGACTTGGTCAAGCATATGAAGGGAGAGTATAGAACAGCTAGGGATTCTGCCCCTTTGGAAAGCACTTGACACTGTACCCCTGATGGGGTCTTACAAAGTATTTGATAATACAAATGAGAACCACAAATCCCTTAAAAATACAGGCCATGATTGTCCTCATTCTCATTTCTATTAGGGTTGAAATAGATCCAATAAGATGCCTTCAGAGTCTCAACCTAATGGTTGGATTCTCTGCCTCATTTCAAGGCCCAAGGATATGAGTTTGTGTGCATATGGATTAAGCCGGAGTTTCCAAAAAGAGTATAAGATGTTCTAAAATATTTTAAAATATACTTATAAAAGTTAGGTGATAAAAATACCTCTGCCTGGTACATTATTTTCCAATGCACTTGCAATAGTATTTGCTCATCAATTCTGTCCTGTGGATTTCTCTGTGAACCTCTAGTAGGAGTCACTTCTTCCTTCATGTGAGTGGAGGCGTTATTGTGTGCTTCCCCCCACCCCACTCACTTACTCATTCAGTGAATTACGTACAAATCCCTTAAATTATGGTGATCTATTTTCCAATGCAAAAATCATTAAGAGACAACAGGTTAAGTTATTTCTTAGTCAGGTGCAGTGGCTCACACCTGTAATCTCAGCACTTTGGGAGGCTGAGGTGGGTGGATCACTTGAGGTCAGGAGTTCAAGACCAGCCTGGCCAACATGGTGAAACACCGTCTCTACTAAAAATATGAAGTTAGCCAGGCGTGGTGGCGCATGTCTGTAATCCCAGCTACTCAGGAGGCTGAGGCAAGAGAATCGCTTGAACTGGGAGGCAGAGGTTGCTGAGCCGAGATCGTACCACTGTACTTCAGTCTGGGCAACAGAGCGAGACCCTATCTCAAAAAAAAAAGTTATTTCTTTAGAAACAAAATACATTATGATCTCAATTATGAGGAGTAATCAGTAGCAAAACCAAATCAATAAAAATACCATTCTAAAAGTAGAAATACTGCAAAATTTGAATTGTGGTCCTCTTTACATGGTAGAACTATCATTTTCTTGTCTCTGCTTTTCCATATTTTCTAAACTTTCCATGATATACATACATTACATTTAAGATAAATATTTTCATCTTTTTTTTAAGGATTGTTATATAAAGTAAAGGTTCTTTTTTAAAACGGCATGTTTCTATTCATCCAAATAGTAACTAACAACATTTCAGTTTTTTGGTAGCAAGCATCTCATATGCATCACACCTGACTTTTAAGCAAGTATTCACAATGCATGTTACAGTTTAGTACTTTCATGGTTTGCTGACAATAACAAGGTGTGCTCTGATTGGCTTATCTTAACCTGAGCTCTGCATTCAGGCTTAATTCTGGGGGGTTCATACCCCTACCCTCATCTCCCCAGACTCTGACTTGGCAGCTAAACTATGTGATGGACACTTTGTGCAAAGCCGTTCAGGGAAGGGGTCTCTGTTTAGACTTTCTTGGTGGGCCTTTAACACAAGCTGCCCAAATATTTTTTTTTCCTTATTTGTTAATAACATTTGTTGGAATTCTTTTCTGATTATTAAGGCAATGCATGTTCATTATAGAAAACACTGAAGTTAGCAGGGCACCATGGCTCACGCCTGTAATCCCAGCACTTTGGAAGGCCGAGGTGGGCAGATCACGAGGTCAAGAGTTCAAGACCATCCTGGCCAATGTGGTGAAACCCCTGTCTCTACTAAAAATATGAAAACTAGCTGGGCATGGTAGCTGGTAGCATGCACCTCTAGTCCCAGCTACTTGGGAGTCTAAGGCAGGAGAATTGCTTGAATCTGGGAGGTGGAGTTTGCAGTGAGCCAAGATTGCACCACTGCACTCCAGCCTGGCAACAGAGAATGACTCCATCTGAAAAAAAAAAAAAAAAAAGAAAGAAAGAAAATGTTGAAGTTAAATGGAAAGAAGAAAATAAAACCTAAAATACCCTATTTCCTCCGCCAAGAAATAATCACTGTTGCACACTTATGAACTTCCTTCCTCACTGTGGGTGTGTTTATAGGAGACATTTTAAGGAGCTAAAATTATATTGTATATACATGTGTGTACCTATGTATGTATACATATGTCATGAACATTTTATGTATTTTTGCAATGTCATTGCAACTATTTTTTTTTTTTCTTTTTTTTTTTTTTGAGATGGAGTCTCGCTCTTGTTACCCAGGCTGGAGTGCAATGGCGCGATCTCGGCTCACTGCGAACTCCGCTTCCTGGGTTCAGGCAATTCTCCTGCCTCAGCCTCCTGCATAGCTGGGATTACAGGCCTGAGCCACCATTGCAACTATTTTTAAAACAATTTTTGTGCATGCATAGTAATACATGTACTATTATTTATGAACCAATGCTTTTTCCTGGACATTTCAGTTCTCTAACACTCCAACTTTTGTTAATGTAAATAATGCTGAGATAAACGTATATAATTCATGTCCCCATCTTTGGTTATTTCCTTAGCACAGATTACTAGATTGGAATCAATAAGTCAAGGAACATCAATATTTTTTAAACTTTTTATAGTCAAAGAAATGCAAAGTTGAACAGTAATGAGAGGTGAGCTTGTGTATACCAAATTGAAAAAAGTAAAAACATTTCTCACACCTCAAACGTTAGGAATTATTTTTCTTTTTTGCCTTTGACATATTGATAAATAAAAGCTAGTTCTTTAATATTGTTTTAGTTTTCATTTATTTATTAGTGAGATGAAACTTTTTCATGTTTATTAGCTGTTTGTCTTTACTCTTCTATGAATTTTCATTTATGCCCTTTGTCCATTTTTCTACTATGTTTTTCATCATTTCATAAAAGACCCATCTTTATGAAAGATATTAGGTCTTTTCCACTCTATTAAAAATATTTTCTCAGTATTATTTGCCTTTTATTTTTTAATGAATTTTGTGGCATACAGAAATTTAAGTCTCATGTAGTCAGTCTGCTGATATCTTTCATTATTCTTTCTTTCATTTATTATCCTTAGAAGTACCTCCTTATTCAGAGATCAGATACTCACTTTTTTCAGCATTTTTCAGTTTGTTTGTTTTTAATATTAAAATAGGGTGTGACTTTTGGCAAGGGCAAAAATTCTGTGAATATCATCAAGTAGCTAGGGCTTCAAGGGGCTCTTTCTACCTCTTGCATCATTAGAAGAAATAGAGCATTGGCTTTCAAGGGTGCCCAGTGGGTCTGGAGATGCAGGCACAGGGCAGAGTAGCAAGCTGGGGATCTGCTAAAAATCCAGAACAGGAATTTTTTTTAAGTAAGTAAGCATGAGGGTTTCAACCGTCATGTAGCAAGTGTAATTCTAAATGTTAGTGACTGGGAAGTCCCATGGCAGCAGGGCCTCCACAGATGCGGGTCCTAAAAGGTGAGTCTGAGAAAGTATGTCTGTGTGTTCTCCTTCAGTGAGAAAGGAGAAGTGTGGCTGTGGTCTCAGGTGGCAGATACGAAACTAAACGATTCTGAATTAGAGCTTTGCTCTGGGTCACATCTGACAACTCGATTTTCCTCTGTCATTTTGAGGCAATGGTTTTTAGCTTGGAGCTCTGTCAACAGTGAATTCTGCATAGAAGATCCCAGAGCAGTAGCCTAGAGGGAGGTGGTGGAAAGAATACAGGCTTTTGGAGCAGAGTCTAACACTTTGCTCTGCCCGCTCCTAGC